TGGCTGCCCAGTAAGTGATAACATTTCCTTATTTACCATGAATTAGCTAGTTGAGACCGTGTGACTAATTTTGCCAATCAGATGGGGGAGGGGGCGAATTAATGTATACTCAATAGTTTGCTGTTATTTTGTTATAGACTTCTGTTTTTCCTGTTGTAAAGTAGAACTTGAACGAACCATGACCTTTCTCCATAGCCTAAGGAAATGTCAGAGTAACAAATGAGAAAGACCTAGCCTTTCTGAAGTATTGTATTGGCCTTGCCAAACTGAACAGCCTCCTTGGGATACTAATCTAAAAGAGAAATACACTAAAGTTCAGTAGTTGAGAGTTTTGGTGGTTTTTTTTAAACATTAAAAATTTTTTTAACTAATTATGTTGAGCATCTACGTGACAGAACCTACAACAATGCAGGTGTCTAGTGTACCGTTTAGTGACATTGACTGCATTCTTCAAAATGTGTAAACATTTTTATCCCTTTTTTGTTGTTGTTCCTCTGCGATTAACATAAATTCAGTACTCCCAAGGTACTGAATTTAATTATTTGAGTTATTAATTGTCAATTTGATTCCGTGTTGGTAGTTTTTAAAAGAGCATAATGCTTAAGACAGGATTTTTTTTTTACCTAGTTATGATAAACTGTTGTTTTGATTAAGAAAATTCAAAGGGTATTTCTGGTTTGAGGTTTCAAGATTATCCCAGGGCAGCCATTTCAGGGGTTTTCCAGTCTTCTTGGCTCGAGGACATTGGGAGTCCTAGCGAATTTGACTCTCTTACAGATTTTTGTACACTTTTGGTTAGGATTCTTCTATGGAATCTTTTTGATCAAAATGTTCAGCAATGACCATTTTGTAGTGGTCCTTATAGAGCATGGATTCTCACTTTCTACTTTCAAGCCCGTTGGTGTATCTCTCTAGGCTTTCTGATTTAGAAATCTTTTTAAAGAGGTCCTCCCCCACTCTGAAACCACCAAGATAGTCTAGCATTTCTTTTAGTTTTATCATATCTTCTACATCCAGATCTTTTTTTTTTTTTACATACAGATCTTTAAACCTGGTGGAATTTAAATTACTTTGTAGATTTTATAAGTCCAAAATTATTTATCTTAGGGTTAGCCAGTTTTTCTAGTACAATCCATCCTTTTCCTATTGAATTGTGGGTTGTCTTTATTGTGTCTGGGAAGCCCTGGTTGTTCAGTGGTTAAAGCACTCGGCTGCTAACCAAAAGCTCAGCAGTTTGAACCCACAAGCTACTCACGGGAGAAAGATGTGCTTCTGCTTCTTTAAAGATGACCATCTTGGAAGCCCTTTAGAGTTGTGATGAGTTGGAATCTGCTTGATGGCAGTGGATTTTTATCATGTTACTCCCCCAAATATCCATGAGTCAGGTACTAAACTTTTTTGTCCCACTGTAATATGCTGCTGTGGAAACATTGCTTTTTACTATGATGACTTGTAGTGACTCTTATTACTGAGCAGGTGTGAGTTCCTTATTTTATGTTTCTTTTTTTCAAACTTGATATAACTGTTTTGGGACCTTTATTCTTCCACAGACAAAGAGTAAGTTTCAAGTCCTTGAAAAGTAAAACAAAACTCTTAAAGTTTGCGTGGAAACTGCCTTGAATTTATAGTCTTGTCTTTAAGGAATTATCCGTACATAAATATGATACAGTTTCTAATTTTGAATTAATAATTTGTCTTCCTAAAGTTTAGGTGGAAAATCTTTAAAATGTTCACTTAATTCAGTTGCCAACTTGAATACTGGAAAAGACTTTATATGGGCTAAGGCAATGACAACATTTCTTTTGTGTTTTATAGGCATCTGTGAGTGAAAGCCTTCAGAGAGAAGCGGCTAAGAAGCAAGCGATGAAGCAGGTAAAGTAGAAAGAGTGATCTGCATTTTAGATGATGACTCATTCATCTGTTTGGCTTGTTAATTCATGCTAGTGAGTGTACCTGCTCAAGTCTTTCATTTACAGAGTTAAAAAAAAAATTGAACTTATGGCCACTCCAAAATCCTACTGAAGTGTAAAATTCCGATTCAAAACACTATAGTATTTACAGTACTTAAAGTATCACATATTTGTATATTAAATAATTTTAAGGTCGATGAATCACACACTATATTCCTCTATAAAACTGAGATAGTATCTTAAAATAACAGAACACATAATTTTGGGTCAAATCCCCAGGGAGGTAGTATAACTGGCCAAATGCTTAGGGTCTAGAATCTCACTGCCTGAGTACACAACTACATCATTTACTAACTGTGACATTAGGCAAGTCACATAAATTCTTTGTGCTTTCATTTTCTCAATTGTTAAATGGGCCAATAAAGGTACCTATTTCATAAGGTTGTTGTTAGAACAATTGGAGATAATTCTCGATCATTTCCAGACACAAAATTAACATCTGCCACGTGGGAACTATTTGGTAGGTCTACCCTTACTCTTGATTCTAGTTAGGCAAGAAATGAACACCCAAAATTACAAGAAAAAATAGGAGAAAACTAAGGTTGTGAGGGGGTGGAGGGAAGCTTGCCAATGTTTCATTTCATGATTTACAGTAACAAATTCTGAGCTGCATAGTGTAGGTGTAGTAGGATTAAACCTTCTTGCCTGTTTCTGTTACTTGTTAAGTTTCATATTTCTTAGGATCATGAGCCCGGTTATAGGAATTCAATGTGTGTGTGTGTGTGTGTGTGTGTGTGTGTGTGTGTGTGTGTGTAAGAAGTGCTTTGAAATATGATAGCACATTATAAATTATCAAGGATTCCTGGGGGAGGGAAAGCAAAAAAAAGAGCTGAAACCAAGGGCTCAAGTAGAAAGCAAATGTTTTCAGAATTATTATGGCAACAAATGTACAAATGTGCTCGACACAATGGATGGATTGTGATAAGAGTTGTACGAGCCCCCAATAAAATTATTAAATTTTTTTTAAAAAAAAGAAATATGATAGCAACACCATATCAGCATAATACTAAGTCTGGTAAAAATTAGCATGCCCGTTCTGGATAGAGCTTTTCAGATCATTTCAAAATTTAAAAATCCCTTTGCTTATGAAAACTTTTTTTCCCAGCACACTCATTAGCATGAATAAAAGCCCAAAAAAACCCCACGTAATCTAAACAAATTGCCAAACTAATGAATGAGGAGTCATTGTGTCAGTCTAGGTAGATTAGAGAAACAAATCCATGGACACACATGTGTATAAGAAAGAGATTTATATACAAGAGCAATTTAACATTGAGAAAACATCCCAGCCCAGTCCAGATCAAGTCCATAAGTCCGATATTAGCCCATATGTCTGATACCAATCTATAAGTCCTCTTCAGACTCACAAAACACCTGCAGTGGCATTGAATGCAGGACGATCAGATCCAGTGGCATTGTAAACATCTCAGAGCTGGCAGGGGTCTCTGCATGGCTTCTACAGCACCCAGGGCTGCATCAGGGTGGGTCCATGTGTCTTGTCAGCTGCTGTGTCTCCCAGGGTGTGAGCAGAGAGTCTCCCACCTCCAAGGAGGAAATACCGGAATTCCCAGAATCCTTAGGGGGAAGGCTAAAGATTCACATCAAGAGGTATTTTAAAGTTTACTTTTTGCCATATCACTTTTAGAAAAGAACTGTATTAATACCTGTTTTTGCTAAAACCAAAATAAATCCAAAGGGGGGGTGTGGGGTTAAGGGGAAGAGGGAACCCCACAAAACATCACAGGTTCGGTAGGCGCAATTGTACAGCGATAATAAGTAGAGATTATAGTAAAGTCATAGAGAGCATGAGAGTTAAAGGATGGAGTCAAGTAATGGAGTCAGACGCAATTCATGGTAGCATAGCTCACCTCAGCCCCGCTTGATGGTCCTCGTGGAGGGGGCTTAGCCTTCAGAGAAGAAGCCGCTGCTTCATCCTCCTTAGTCACCTTCTCCAGCCACCCTCCGGCCAGCCACCCTCTCGAGAACCAGGGAGCCTCATTATTTATTGCTAACCACGCATCATAGAGTCATACATCACAGAAAGGGGCAATACAATTCATTCTAGAACAAGTTTGATCACTCTGATGTCTCATATAATAAAACAGACAATTACTATTCTGGGAGGCATGCAAGTTCCCTGATAGTGGACAATAACCTGAGTCACCAGGAGGGGTATTAACATAGGCAATACAAGCAATAGGAGGGGGACGACCTAGGGGTGAATGTGCAATAGTAAGAGGAGGGAATAGGGGGGCATGTGTGGCAAGATAGAAGCCTAAGCTTAGTCATCTTAGAGTGGTCCCAGGCTTGCCTATGGGCACTGCTTCGAGGGAACAATAGCAGAAAGGAATGGGCTTTATTTAGTGTGAGTCAGACTAATAGTCTAGCCACTATAGATGGCTGATGTTAAGGAGAATAACCTCTGACTTACTTTCGCTGATCACCTATCGTACAGTCACTCTTAAACAGCTAAGTTTGGTACATATTTTGGGGAGACAACAAGAGAAATCCTTCTGTTCCCCACAGGGGGGTTTGCTTTTCCAAAAATAAAGGCGAAAAGCAAAACTAGACTTCAGCATATGTTTTACAGCAAGCCAGTGAAGAGGCAGCCCAGCGTGCATTTGGAGCAGCAAGTGATGTTGCCAAGTTCTTTCTCCAGGAACTGCACTCAGTATCACACCTCTGTGGCTTTGCACTGTGTCTATGAACCCCGTATGTTAATGCTATTTTAGGTTTTAATGAATTGGAATCCACTCAAGGGCATACTGAGTTTGGTTCGTTTTTGTGTCTGTGTCTGTCCATGTATTTGTGACAGCATTGTAGGGACATTATCACTTGCTCTCTTCTGACTACTGTGAAGGATGAATTAGAGGAACATGAAACTGGGAGTAAGAATATTAACTGGATCATAAGAAGTATCAATATGGAATGTATCTGTTGAGCGTTTTATACAGTAATATCTACCAGTAGACATTTGGCAACTCACAAAAAATGATTTTGAAAGTTTAATATCTCAGTATTTCAAAGACGTACTTTGTGCCTTTTGACGTGTTGGTGTGGGTTGCATTTTTGTATAAATGAATAATTCACCTAACTGAACTGCCAGTAAGTCGATGCTGACTCATAGCTACCTTACAGAACAGAGTAGAACTGCCCCTGTGAGTTTCTGAGACTGTAGCTGTGTATGGGAGTAGAAAGCCCCGTCTTTCTCCTGCAGAGCAGCCTGGTGGCTTCTAACTTCAGACTGTGGATCATAGCCCAAGGCATAACTGCTATGCCAGCAGGGCTCCTTGAATAGATAACAGTTAGTTGATACTTGTTGAACAGCTGTCCTGTGTCAGGCTCTATTCTAGGGTTTCAAATTTACTAAGTCACTTAACTCAGTAACTTGGAAGATAGGTATAATTATCCTCATTTCCCAGAAAGATTTTTTTTAAAATCATTTTATTGGGGGCTTGTACAACTCTTAACATAATCCATACATCCATCCATTGTGTCGAGCACATTTGTGCATTTGTTACCCTCATCATTCTCAAAACATTTGCTTTCTGCTTGAGTCCTTGGTATCAGCTCCTCATTTAGTCCCCTCCCTCCCCACACCCCCCTCCCTCATAAACCCTTGATAATTTATAAAGTTTTATTATTTTGTCATATCTTACACTGTCCGCTGTCTCCCTTCACCTACTTTTTTGTTGTCCATCCCCTCAGGGAAGAGGTTGAATGTACATCCTTATAATCGGTTCCCCCTTTCTACCCCACCTTCCCTTCACCCTCCTGGTATCCCCACTCCCACCACTGGTCCTGGTCCTGAAGGGATCATCTGTCCTG